TTTCGTCGCTTGACAACGACGTTACGAAACAAGCCAACTCACTTCATGAACTCGGCAACCAGGTTCCCGTTTGTATTTTTTTATCTCTGTTTCTTTTTGGCAGTACCCATAATGGTGGCCGAGTAGATCATGTTGTGCGGGGTCGAGAACCCTCACTCCGCGCAGGGGGGACGATCGCACCACGTTGTGTTGAAATGGTCAAACACCCTCGAGGCAGTTGCACAGTGCTTACAACTGTCTCAGGAAGTGAAAGCACCAGAAAATAAATTCAGTCATACGTAGCTGTCATCCGTACGCAAGGAAGTAAGCACAAGATGCCGAACACCCTTAGCAGGATGCAGCGCACCCTTCATGCGACTCGCCGAATATCTCACGGCGCTTCGCGCTTGGTGATGTGAGAGCCTGGTCCGGTGAGAACCCGGCGTGCTCCGTCCCGGCTTTGTAGTGATGTGAGGTCAATGGTCTAACGACTACGGCATGCACGACTATGAGTACACCCCCCCCATGTCAGTACGTGTGTGTGCAGTTGGAGCGAGTACTTCCGCCCATCGATGTCAGTATGGGTGCCCAGCAGGATGCAGTGGGCAGAACAGCACGGAGATGCAATTGTTCATGATATTTCCATTTGGTGGAGTCGCTTTTGTTCGCAGCAGACTGTTGTATTCAACTGCGTGTTTTCTGCCGTATCATGTACAGGAGAAGACGGACGCAAAAGCGCCGAAGCAGGGATCTTCCGCCTCAGCATCATCAGCGTCAGCATCAGCATCGTCGTCGTCATCGTGTCAAGCACCGAAAAGTAAGTCGTTGTGTCAGTTGGTCAAACGATCACTCATCCAGAAACAAGTTATTGTTTTCGTGATGCGCGCTTCTTCTTTGTGTTCCCTCCTTTTGTTACCCAGGTAGGAGGGGGAGTTGGAATATCTCATTCTTAGATAAACAGGAAAAGCCTTGTAGTCTTGGTTCTCAAAATTTTACCTCAAGTAGGTTCAAAACCATCGCGCCGCAACGGTCCGCAGACGTCGCAAAAGCACGAGGGCGGGCACACATGCACAGACAGCCTCGTCCGCTTCTCACACCCCTGCCGTTTTTTTATTTGTTGACGTGCACACATGCCTAGACTAACCCTGTGTTCCCCTGCTGTATCTAAGCAATGTTTCGTTCAAAACGAACAGCCACCCCTTGTGTGTGCTGATCGACAAGCCTAAAAGCAAAGAATTTTCTCTTATTGGAAGTTTGTTCGGGTGTGTTGCTCCGCTTGAACCTTTTCAATGCCCTGCCAGCCAGCTGACTAGCGTGGGAATGAGCCGCGGGGACTCAATTTTTGCAGCAGTCTATCTGCGATGCTTTTGGCGGTGGCGGTGCAGTCGATAGTTTTTGACCCCAGTTTTCGACAGAAGAAACAACAGTCCTGCAACGAACGGCCGTTGGGATTCATGTGCATAAACCACACGCCATTCATACATGTATAATCCGCATTGATGTTGTTTTCCGTGGTTTCTCTGCACAGAATCAAGCAGCAGCATTGAAAAGCTATTCCCCGCGAGCTGCGTGTCTGCAACGTCTTGTGTAGTGGCTGACAGAGACCGCGGGACATAGGACCCACAGAAGCTGAGGTGGCGCGATGCGAGAGTCGACCACACATACTCCAGAGTATATGCATGCGGGAAAAACCCTGCCGCGACAAAACAATGTTTTTGTTGTTTATGCTCTTCATATGCTCTTTTGCATTTTTGTCCCGTGGCGCAGACCACCCCTCCCCACCCAACGAAGCAACAGCAACAACAATGGCATCCGCCAGGAACTGTGTTCATACCCCGTCTTGTGTGGTGATACAGACCGGGACGCTGCAGGACGCTCAGAAGTTTGGAGCGCGAGAGTCAGGGACAGCCTGAAAACAGAAACACCGCGTCTGCTGGAACCGTTTGTATATTTTTTCCCCTGCCTCAGGCTCGGTTTACCGATGATCCCTTCCCACCCGCTGAAGCAGCAGCAATGACAAAGGCATCCACTACGAGCTGTGTATGTGCTTTTCGACCCGCTTCAGTGCTTTCTTGCCCCTTCGGTGGTGGTGTGAACTGAGTGCTTCCTTTGTTTCTCCTGGTTGTGGTTTGTGCCAGAACCTCGCATGTGCGTGCGTGAGAGATCTCCGATTGTTTGCTCCTCTATTACCTCGAGCACTCTCGGGGCTAGGGTGAGGTGTCTCCTACGAGTTTTGGGCATAAAGTCCTGTGTAGCACGGCCATCTGTTGTCGGGGTACGTCCAAACCGGCGTGGTGAAGCTTGCCCTTGTTTTATTCGTCCTTCAGAAGCGAGCAGATGGTGAATTGGTGCTCCATGGCACTAGCGATCGAAAAGAGGATGTTCGGTCGCCCGGGAATCGAGTTTGGGGCCGCTGAACCGTGTTGGAACAGGATGATATTTAGGGCCTTTCCTCTTTCCTGTGACGAAGAGAAAACGGTCATGCTTCGCGCTCCGCGGCTGTTTGCCGTGGAGAGTGTTCGATGAGTAAATGTTATCCTGCTTTTCTAGCAGTTGGACTGACGACTGCCCGTTGGTTAGCCAATTTCAGCGCCAACGCTTCTTCGAGACAGATACACACGCAAATCCACGCGTGTCGGCGTTAACTTCTTGCTGCGAGACATGGACGTCTTTTTCATGGGCCTGCCGGTTACCGGCCATCGATGCTGCTACAGTAGTTGGGAAACACACGAACGCACCTACCGTAAGAGTCGGAGAGATGGCACCCCCATGTTAGCATTTTTTTTTTATCGTATTTCTCCACAACTAGGAGGGTGCTAACACCAATCTATACCTCTCAGGAAAGCCCTCGCCGAGATGTTTCCAAAACTACCCTTTTCGGCAGTGGTGCCCCCCTGGTTGTGGAGAAATACGCTTCACAAAAACGCTAACACGGGGGTGCCACCTCTCCGACTCTTACTACGTATTCTTATGTTGCGAATGTCGACAGGACGTCCATTTCCTGGGTAGTCCGGATGAACCAAGAGGTTGGCCACGGTTTTTCTGATACCAAAAGCCTGCCGCCCACAAGAACGCCCGCGTTGGGCACGATGTACACGCGGTGGTATGAAGAGCGCAATTCGAGAGGCGAACAAATGTTGCGCTGGCCCGCCTCAACTGGTTTGTCGGTCCAAGGGGGTGTCGAATTCGAACAGACAAGAGCAGCAGGCATCAATCATAAAGGGCCAGTGGTGGCAATCCTGGAAACGGCGTGATCTCTTGCTGCATTCTAATCGAAACAGGTATTTTTGTCCGTCGCTTTCCTTCGTCTGCACTCGCTCTTTCTTCGCTCGTTCGCCAAGCAAGAAGCCGCCCGCACCCCACAACATTTTTGTTTTTTTTTCGTTTGTTTTTTCCACGCGTTGTCCCAGAACAAAACCTGTGCCTGGACGCGTTTGTGGCGGTATTGAATCATCAATCTTGCGTCGAAGGAAAGAAGCGCTGGTACACGTCTATTCGGGAGCTACAGCTGGTGTCGCTGAAGTTTTGCGGGGTGTGCAGAAGCACCTCGATCTTGCGTGTGCGTGTGGAGCACAATGCACCACCTAGCTTGTGGTCTCCTACCAAATCTTTCTCGTACGCCCTACCGGACGCTTGGAATCGCGTACCGGCTGTGCGGGCCTATGGATGGACATGGTCGATTCCGGTGGATACTCTGTTGAAGGTTTGTGACCTTCGATATTGGGCAAAAGCAGAATTGAGCCGTCGGGGATCTTTCCCTGAAGCAAAGCTGGCGTCGGTGGTTTGGCCCCAAGGGCTCAAACAGCTGGAATTCGATTTGGACACGGCCGTGGAAAAGGCGTCGTGGCCGGCGTCATTGCAAAGCCTGACGTTTGGATGTAGCTTTAACCAGCCCATTCTCGGAGTCGTGTGGCCGTCCTCCCTGCAACAGCTTTCACTAGGCCATGACTTCAACCAGCCAATCGATGGAGTCCAGTGGCCGTCTTCCCTGCGAGAGCTATCGTTTGGATGCAAGTTCAACCAGCCCATAGCTGGTGTCTTGTGGCCGGGTGCGCTGGAGGCCCTATCGTTTGGCAATTGCTTCGACCAGCCTATCACTGGAACCGTGTGGCCGCCCTCACTGCAGCAACTATCGTTTGGGCATTGCTTCGACCAGGGCATCGTCAGAGTTGTGTGGCCGGCCTCCCTTCAGCAGCTATCGTTTGGGTATCAATTCAACGAAACTCTCGCTGGGGTCGTGTGGCCGGCTTTCTTGCAGAGGCTGTTGTTCGGGCATTTCTTCAACCAGCCCATCACCGGAGTCTGGTGGCCGGCCTCCCTGCAACAGCTTTCATTTGAAGGCTCATTCAACCAGCCCATCACCGGGGTCTCGTGGCCGGCTTCACTGCAGCAACTGTCGTTTGGAGGCTTCTTCAACCAACCCATCACCAAAGTAGTCTGGCCGGCCTCCCTGCAACAGTTATCGTTTGGGCAGTTGTTTAACCAGCCCATTACCGGGGCCTCGTGGCCGACGTCACTGCAGCAGCTCTCCTTCGGGGATAACTTCAATCAGCCCATAACCGGCGTCTTGTGGCCGGGTTCACTGCAGGACCTATCGTTCGGGTCTGGTTTCATGCAATCTGCTAGAGGGGTTGTGTGGCCGGCCTCCTTACGAAGCGTGGCTCTTGGGGGAACCAAGCTTTATTGACAGTTGTTGAGACAATGCGCGGATCCTGTTCAGGGCACGCTAGAACACGGACGATCTGGCTGTGGAAGCGGGTAGGCGTTCAGGAGTTATTTGTTTTTCCCGTCAACCAGTGGGAACAGTTACTCGTACGTAGTTATCGCTGTTAGTGAGGAATCCTCTCGTCACTCTTTGTCACTTGACGTGGCGCAAAGGTGGCCGAGTTAGTGGATGCATCAGCCGGGGTCGTACAGGAAGGTCTCAGCATTCAGGCTATTGTGCACATCACGCACAAGCTGTGTGGTGATTAACTTTTTTACCGACTGGCCATCATCGTGACAGTCGAGGATACTTGACGCGACCGGGACGGCGAGGTGTCTTTAGCAGTTCCGGTAGTCTATATTTATTTCGGTCATGGTGAAGGTGTCATCATGACATGCGAAACCAACATATATGAAAATGATTTCTCCTTCCAGTAGACGGTAGACGACGCTTCAGTAACCGTTTGGGACATGTGTGCATATTGGCTGGATAGTGGGGATACCTACTCCAGTGAATCGCATCTGTAACTTGCGCGAGCAGGCAACCGTTAGCACTCGTACGCTCAAGTGTTTTTAGGAGCTGTAGTTTTGCCTTCGACTTCGCATCCTTGGCCCGTATGCCTTCGTTTCAAAAAGAGGAGTGGCCAAAATCGGGTACACCCGGCCCCAATCCGGCCATTATCGGGGACACTTGTTTTACACAGTCGGCAGCGCCCTCCTGGCGCCATCTGATTGGCCGACGCCCGCCCCTACCCGGCCCTGACCCTATTCCCACCGGGTTCACCCGATCTTGGCTACTCACCCCCCGGAAGGGTACCCGATCTCAATCTCGCCTACCCGAAAATGACTGGGCTATTCGACCAACAGACCACCAGCAGACCACGCTCACGAACACACGTCACCAACACCCCGCACTCGAGTTCCGACGCTTGCGACGGCGGGCGGAGGCGAACCTAACACGGCTAACGCGGCGGAACTCTCGTTTAAAGTGGATAAGTGTCCTGCAAGACTCCTCTGCAACCCACCGCAGACGGCGGAACTCTCTCCGTTCTCGTTTCGTATCGGAGGGAGGAGAGAGAGGGCCAGGCGGGAGGCGGTGTATGAATATCTCTCAATGCCTCACGTGATCACTTGAGCTGCACACAAATACTTTTTAGGATAAGTCAACCTGTGACGAAGGGAATCGACCGCGTCGAGTGTTGGATCAGTACGGACATACGAAGGTACCGGGTATAGAGAGATCGGAACGGTTTTTAATGTGAAGACAACAACAACAACACCAACAACAACAACAACATACAAATGATGTATATGCATGAAACGTACACTCTGTCTTTACTTTGACTATGGTCCTAAAAATAAATGGGAAAGGTAGTTATACCTTCTGCCGACACACGGGCGAGAGCGGCGACCATACCCACTGCACTTAACATACACCCACATGTCAGTGATGAAATCCCAACGACCCGCCTCTATCGGCGGCCACGTCAGGAGGCAATGATGAGATAATGTTCTCCCGTGCCCTGCTCACATCGAACGACATGCCCTTTCACAAGGTAAATATGTTCTCCCGCGCCGCACATGCCCCCATACATCACAAACAAAAAATAAGTTGATGACGAAACTATACACACCCCGAGACGCGCTTGCTCCGCAACCACATAAGGGTGCTATAGTAGAACACGCGACAAACCGAGTTCCCCTAAATCTTCCGTCTACAACTTCCCAACATAACATACAGATAGATAAGATACACAAGATGGCTACCAAACTGCCTTGTTGAGCCTGTTACCCACAGGGGAGTTATCGTTGTATGCTGTCTGGGAAACCGTAGACATACAGGTAGCCTTTCGCTCACGCTATGGATTCATTGCTTATCTGTCTTAGACTTGTTTTTGTGGATAGAAGAGATGGATTTGTTGTGTGAAATTTAGAAAATAAAAAAAATATCTAGACTACATGACGCAGCTCAGATATGTCCGTCCACGGAAGCATCAGGCACAGAAGCATCAGGGTGTCGCTTTCGTCTGGAATACATGCATAGACACATCAAGACCGGAGATGTGTGGCACGTTGTTGTGTACGCAGAGGGTCGTTCATACACAGCAATGCAGCAGCAGCAAGCAGTGGATGCCGTGGATATGTCTCGATCAACACCGGAGATATATGGCACATTGATTGCTGTGTAGCAAGAGGATCGTACAGCAGTTGTAATGCAGCAGCAGCGAGAAGTGGATGCCGTGGGACCTCAGATTAAACAGCGATAACACTTCCTTGACNCATCAAGACCGGAGATGTGTGGCACGTTGTTGTGTACGCAGAGGGTCGTTCATACACAGCAATGCAGCAGCAGCAAGCAGTGGATGCCGTGGATATGTCTCGATCAACACCGGAGATATATGGCACATTGATTGCTGTGTAGCAAGAGGATCGTACAGCAGTTGTAATGCAGCAGCAGCGAGAAGTGGATGCCGTGGGACCTCAGATTAAACAGCGATAACACTTCCTTGACTTCGACCTCTCGTGAGTGCGTGGGAGAGACAAGGAACTGCGAGCTTGCCACAGGAGATGGGGAAAGATAGAGAGAATGGTGGTACACGCAACATGAACGAACGCTGTCCTAAGATGGCTGGTGGTGAAGTAGCACGCGCCTTGCGCGAGGACCGTGACGTGGTGTTCTCCACAGGTGGCCAGTGGGCACGGTTACGGGGGGGTTAACGTGACATGTAAGCCCTAGGCGTTGTGCAACCTGCGTAACCCGGTCGGGCGCACCTTTACCGACCTCCAAGGTTAGTTAGGCAGGGTTCCGAAACGCCGGTCCAAACCCAGCTAAGGGAAATTTGTATCCGTGCTTGGTTGCAGGCGAGGTTGTCCAAGCCNTGCGTGGGAGAGACAAGGAACTGCGAGCTTGCCACAGGAGATGGGGAAAGATAGAGAGAATGGTGGTACACGCAACATGAACGAACGCTGTCCTAAGATGGCTGGTGGTGAAGTAGCACGCGCCTTGCGCGAGGACCGTGACGTGGTGTTCTCCACAGGTGGCCAGTGGGCACGGTTACGGGGGGGTTAACGTGACATGTAAGCCCTAGGCGTTGTGCAACCTGCGTAACCCGGTCGGGCGCACCTTTACCGACCTCCAAGGTTAGTTAGGCAGGGTTCCGAAACGCCGGTCCAAACCCAGCTAAGGGAAATTTGTATCCGTGCTTGGTTGCAGGCGAGGTTGTCCAAGCCCGAGAATGTCCATGCCTTGCCGCGAAAACTATGCACCACCAGCCGGTGTCCACAGAGTACACGACACACAGATTTATCGGACATTCGCGGCATAGACTACATAAAAAAACAAAACTTCAAGAGTGCCGGCATTTGTAAAACCGATTTTTTTATAGTTGACTCCCTTCTTTCCCTCGCTCCTCGACAAGCTTTTGCTTAGACATGGGTTGTAGTGAAGGAAGGGGTCTTTCTGGCGAGCAGGGCTAGACTCACCCTCAAGGGATGACCGAAACCTTCTTGCTGCTGCGCATATCCGCCGCGAGGCATGCGCGTGGTGGTGTAGTTGGGTCGGCACTGATGGGGTCAGGCGAAAAAATGTAGATGCGCGGGCCTCTGGCCGTCGGCGTAGGCAGCGATGCCCATCTCATTTTTTGTGCGCGGAGGCAGACACCGTCAGAAGGTGGA